TACACACTGATTCAAGTTTCAAATTTTTCCAAATTATGTCTGCATTCTGGATGCTTATTGAAGAACACCTATTGAGAAGTGCAGTTGTGATATATCTTTAAAGACCTCACTCAATTTAGACCAGTCATGAGGTTTGGCACTACCCCATTAGTACGGCCTGCTAGTGACCCCATTAATACAACCAAATTTTCATGGCCCGTTGGTAACCATAACAACAGGGTTCCACTGTATTAATATTACTATATTAAGTACTGTACTACATTACTATACCTAATACATTGTACCAAACATGTTCAAACTTTTCACATGTGTATATAAACTTGTGTGTGTTTCTCGGATAGGATCATTAAAAGGAGTATAAATTTTACCTGATTTTTGATGTTTTGATATGGACAGTATGATCTAATGTAATGAAAATCACTTTCATTGGATCTGAAAAAATACAAAACAAAAAAAAAGCACATCAACTAGAGTCAATAACACTGTACTGTTTCTATGGGCACTTTCTCATAGCAAATAAGCTATAGTTACGGTAACCTTAATTATATATCAGACCGTATTTGTTATTGTAAATAATATTTATATATTATTAACACATTTTTCACACAAAAAACCACAGGGAAATTAAGATAAAAAAATGTAGAACACAACTTTGCTTCTTTTAGCTCTGCAATTATCTCTTACCTATTAATAATTTTTCATGGAGGGTGAGAGAAGGGTAAGGGGAGAAGGGTCAAAATTTTCAAGATAAAAAATCCATCACAGAAATTGACAAAAATTAAAGATCATCTACAATGAGCCAAAGGAAAAAAATAGTACATTACATGTAGGTACTAACAGAAACTATGCAAAAACATGAGACAAGTGCAGTCTTTACCCAGGTTCACCCCACTCCTCATATTCCTGAATAGTCAGTGGAAGAGAAGGATCCAACATGGACGTCAAAATATCTAAAAATGGAACCTGTAACAATGACACAAATACACCAAATTAATGATTGGACAAACATGCAAGTTACAGCGTATGTTACATCTAATGCATGCATTTCCTTCATTAAAATAAGACCTCACAATGATGGCTCCTCATTAAATTATATTCTGCTGGGGGTGGAGGGTGGAGTGTTTTTTTTTTTATTATTATTTTCAAATTTCATTATTATAAGGTATGGTATTCTTACACTCTGCCCAAACTGGCAACAGATCACACCATTTAAATTATTAAATAAGTGTCTTGCCCGAGAAAAATATATTCCAGGTACTGTGTTAATGTGAAACACTCGACATAACCAAGTCCAACTATGCATTAATCATTACGCCACCACATGTCTCACTGTAATTAAAAATTAAACAAGCCAAAACCATGGATTTTCATGTACATATTGTCCAAAAAACACACATATTTGAAAACATCAGAGAAACTGAAAACAGTAGCAGAAGGTGAGTCATTCTATATTTCTAACGTTTTTTTCAGTGACTGGATTTTTTTTCGACAAACTGGTGTAATACACTGTACAAACTGGCATTGGTTTTATGATTCATTACGACACTTATTATAATCAAAAGCACACATGCACAGTACTGAAGATTACAAGTCAACTTATTCCAGCACAAAGACCAACCCGGAGAATAGCAGCCTTGAAGAGCCCTGGTGACCTGTTACAGACCGCACCCACTATCAATCCCCCAGCACTTGTTCCACGTGCTGCTGTTAACTGGGGATGGGAGTATCCCATACGATGAAGTGCTTGCGTACAAGCTTCAAAATCCTGTTTGAAAAGCAACATGGTTACAATTTCTTAAAACTCTTAATTCAGACTCTACATTTTAAACATGTCTAGCAATTGTAATAAACCTTTCCCGCATTCCATCAAACAATGGCACTGAGTCAAGGTCAGGAAGGCAAAAATAAAGAAAATGTATGAAAATGTCCACCACAACCTCACTCTGGTACTATTGTCTGTACACACTGAAGTGGAATGTAGGAAAGGTTTATTATGACTTGCCAAAAGGCCAATCTAACATTTTTGATAATTTAAAAAACATTGCAGATCTATTTTCAGTTCTGAAATCAAGACCAGGAATGAATTTTTGCTGCTGCCTCAATTGCTAGGCTCGATTTCCAGCTGCTGGCAGAAATCGAGCCTGCTCAATTACTATCACCGAGAATTTCATTTAGTAGACAAGATGTTCTGTTCATTAATTTAAATACACTTAACTGTGTAAGTCACCTCTGCCTGAGTATATTCCACTATAAATGAATTGAAAGATGTACACCATATTTCATCTAGTGTGATCACTCAGGTAACTGAGGAGTTCCACTTGACAGGAGTTTTATTTAATATTTGCCACAGGAGGGCAATGGGTTTTCATTGATGGGCAAAACTTTTTGAACTGAACTTCTTTATAACAAAAACTTTCCTGTAGATGGTCAAAACAGGCGGGCAAAATTAGTGTCAAAACCAGTCAATTTACCCAGTGCCTGGCCCTCAATGAAACCCCTGGTTTGAGTTGTTGAAACATCAGCAGCCAATGATGTTGACTTACAGTCCTTTCCAGTCAATTCCAGGACTCTGCACTTGTGGACAATCACACTGGATGAACTACTGAGAATACTCTTGGGTTCAAACCATTTAATGCTACATCAACATGTCATATGCAGTACAAGAAGTAGTGTACATGTACACTGTACCTCAAAGCTCTTGTGTTTACTCTGTAATTTTCCTTCTAGGTACCACTGACGACCAAGTTCACCACCACCTCTGAAAAAATTTGATATTGTGGAAAGGAAAATAAGTGTTGATCAATAGTCAAGCTCTTAGAAAATTAATAATATTAAGTTACCTGTATCTCTAAATTAGACTTAATTGGTTACAACTGCCATTCAGTTCATAAATTATTCCCAAAATTTTAGCTTAATTTTTTTTCAAAAGAATTTCAAATTTGAAAATGTGCACTCGGGTGGTACATTTCCCGCAATTCACAAATTTCTCTCTTTTTAGCAAGGTGCATTTTATTTTCCTTCTTCCTGCTAGTTCTAGATCTTTTGCCAATCTTGATCTTATTTGAGGTTTTTCACAATCAGGTCAGTTCTAGCAGCTAATAAATTCTTTAACATAATTCTATTTTTTTGCATTTCATTTTCACAAACTTTCATTTGTACCTGACATGGCAGAAAGCCAGACACCAACCACGCTTTAACAAGCTGATCCTTTCCACATCAAAACCCATGCTTACATTGATACCATAGGACCCTACAAGGTAAAGGCATAAGGAGAAGAAAGACTAGTGTCAAGTTCTGGCTCATCTTGTGTGACGAAATGTAATTTAACCGAAGTTAGACACACATTAGACATTGCTTCCCATGATCAGCAGTTTCACAAAATAGTGTCATCTGCAAAGTGACCTTAGGCAGTGAAACATATTTAGGCTGAGACACCTTATTTTTTGTGTTTATTGGAATAACCAGAGAGCAGAAGATTGTACTAACAATGTTTATTTCAGTTAAAGGGAGGGTTTCACGGCTTGGTGCATGTGCAAGTCACAATGTTAATCATTCAATTCCATTGCTTATAAAACAATCAAAAGCATATTGGTGAATGACTCTTATGGGAAATTTGCCTTTGAAAATTTTTTGGTCAGTCGCAAAAACATGACAATATGCTGTAGGTGAGATTTCTCTGTCAGTAACATTGCTTTTGTATGTTATGACTTAATGCATAAAGTACATTTTCATTTTCGTCTCAAACAGATGTATTTCAGTTATCACAAACTACAATTTGTGATTTCAAGCAGAATGATAGCCTTTGTGTAGTGCCTGCATGTACATGGCTACACAAAGGCTACAGAGAATGACAGATGCTCAAAATTCATGGAAGATGTCAACAGATTTATGCAGAAAATCTTGAATTCAGTATTGAATATTGAATTTGTTTACTGCGCCTTTCAATATCGTGCAGACTCCAAAATTCAAAGCTCAACCGAGAAATACATTTTTCACTACCATCAATCAAATGTTCGGCAGCTCCTCCCTACTGCCCAGCACTGTTTTGTTGTCTGAACTGTGCTCAGTGATTTGATTACTGTGAACTTGGCAGCAGTCAGAAGCTGGGAGGAGCCACCAAACATTTGATTGATGGTAGCAAAACACACATTTGTCAGTTGAGCTTTGAATTTTAGAGTCCGCATGTTATTGAAAGGCGCAGTAATTTGGCAAGACCGTTTTATTCTGGATTGGATACACAAGTTATCTACTTGCATCTGATCAATTGGTTTATAAACAATGGACGACATCGTAGCTTGCACATGCGCCAAACTGTGAAACTATCTCTTTAAATAGCAAGTTACCCAAAAAGAAATATACATTGTATTATGTCACCTGGAAAAGGGTGGGTGGGAAGAGTGGATAGGCAGCAGGGCTACATTTAATTAACAGCAAAAGCTAAATAAATCCTGATATAAACTAACTAGCAAGCATGATATAATTACCATAAACATGCAGCAACAAGGGATTGTTTCCATCCTTTTTGAGATCTTTATGATGAAATAAGGTGACCGGAATATGAGTTCCATCCTAATTGGAAAAAATAATAACAAGTCATGTAACAATATTTAGTTTTTGTATTCTGTTACAAGAAAAAAAAACCTTCAATCTTGTACCACCAGAGAAACCAAGCCCACTGAATGCCAAAAGCTAATTAATAAGTCACATTCAGGTGAACTTGCCCATGCCACTAGAGCTTATCTCAAGTCATCTCTGTATCATGATGTCTTGAGGTATTGCTAGTCCATTGCAAGTTAGCACACAGGTCAAAATTTTGTCTCGACTGGTTTTGCATTGCCAGTATCCAATTCTGGATCCATATTCTGGATGGAGAAAGGGATTCATCAGGGTTCCAGATAAGTTTTCAAGGCAGGGTATCAATATAAAGGTATTCCAATGGGTCAATTCCCACTGCTCCCACCAAATCATTATAAACTTTTTATTAATTCTTCGGGTCTTGAAGCTGATCTTGTCAGGTTTTTGACCTAAGGACCCCTCACTTATCTGGAACACTGATACATGTGTTGCCTGTGGCCCCAACCATGACTTTAACTCAAGGCTGCGTATCCTTTAGTCCACCATATGTTACGTATTACCCAATAGGCCACAGGTCTCCTATCCTATGAAGCCACATAAAACAGTTTCTTTACAAAAAAACATACAACACATTCAAGCTGTAATAATTATAGCTATTGCAGTAAAAATGACTAGATCATGCAAGTGTTGTATGTATCATAACCCTAATGTTGTGTGGATTAATATGATCCTACTGAATAATAATATATTATATTACACGGTACAGTGTACATGTACATCATACCTTACTTTGTATTTCATGTCTGGTGCAGCAAAAGTCTGAACTGTCAATAGATGGCAAATCAGAGAAGCTATGTTTTTCAACCTAAGGAAAAGCAAGAGGCAAGAATAAATCTTTGACAATGACAAGGAATAGAAGAAGTGGGAGAGGTGAGATAGAGAGATGGGTTACAAGGGGTGAGGGAGGTGAAGGAGGGATCGATGAAGGAGGGAGGGTATGAGGTTACTTAGGAAGAGGGAGGTATAGAAGGAAAAGGAGGAGGGGTAAAGAGGTGGAAGAAAGAGCAGAAGGTATATAAAGGGAGGGAAGAAAAAGCAAGAAGAGATTAGCAGGTAAGTGAAAAAAAAAAAGAGGGGGAGAGTGTAGTACAGGAGAAGGAAGAGAAGGAAAAGGAACTTGTTCAACAATTACAACATCACATTGATGATCACAGAGAAGTACAAACTACATTGCACTTATTGACGACCTTGATCAAATTAACATACCATTGACTTGGTCTCCATGTTGTATTCCAAGACACAAGCAGGAAGAATTGGTGAGGACACCGATAAACGCACTCTGTGGTGATCATACATCTGATGAAAAATAAAACAAAGCATTTTGCATTACAAAATTATGGTGAAGCCTTGCTTAGGTCATACAGGGGCTGGGACAGGGGCTGGCTGCCATCTATGTGCTGGCTCCTCTTCAAGATACAGTCACAGCACTTACCGCTTTGGAAATCACAAGGATACAGTGCAAGTTGAGTGTGTTCATTTTTGTCCAAATTAGACCTACATGTAACACAAGCATCTACTGTAATAATGAGATGTGCCATGTTGTGGACAGTGTCTATTTATTGGAAGTTTAAAATTAAGCTAGCAAGAATTTTGTTGGGTTACCCTTACTTGTCAACAGTTTGCTGGCACCTGAGCATCAAGGGGCACCAAGAGTGAAAGTGTTTGCCTAATACCATTACAAAAGGAAAATACAGTGGAATCCTGATTCTTCCAACCCTTCAGGGAAATGAAAATTGAAAAATCACCTACAAGTAGTTGGAAAAAGTGGAGGAGGGGGAATTACAATGTTCTTTGAGGGGAAAATGACTATTGGTTAGAGTTATCAGGGGGTTCGAAAAATCGAGGGTTCTAAAAATCCAGGTTCCACTATAGCCAGACTTCAAGTGTCTCCTTAGCATTACGCTCTGTACCAACTACAATAACAGGTATAAGCCTATTTTGCCTCCATCATTATTCATTACACTTCTACACAGAACCAAGGACATTATGTTGTCTACAAGGTTTTCTCACCAGATTGGATGCTGCTTCTAAAACACAGATGTCTTTCGGAAGCTGTAAAAGAAAGGATTATGTAGAATTTATACTGAGACAAGCAATTCCAAAGAGCAAAGAGTGTGGTAGTACATGACATTTACATGTAGAACCAGTTTTGAGATAGTGTCAAAGTGAAGCGTTGAACACTGAACAACAGTGATACATACATGTAACCCAGCAGCCAGGGCTTTAACCTGGATGTGATCTGTAGCAATTCACTGGGTACCTCCCACAAGCCCACACCAAGACAAAAATGCTCTTACAATACGGTCTGCTTATTAATATGGGATAGAGCTGTACATAACTGTGCATGGAGGACTTTTGAAAACCTCTCTAAAAAGGTAAATTCTGCATATAAGCCAAATGACCCATCTGGTGCATTTATAAATCTCTGGTACCCATTTGTACACCTGGGTGGAGAGAGGCACTGTGGGAGTAAAGTGTCCTGTCCAAGAATACAACCCAATGTCCCCAGCCAGGGCTCGAACCCAGACTGCTCGATCTCAAGGCAAGCCCACTAACGAGGTTTAAATCTCATTACCATCAACAATCTTTGTTTTGGGCAGACAGCACACAGAACTTCTGATTCTCTTTAATAAACTATTAATCGCATCAGGTCCTAAAACCTACTAACAGTTATTTTGACTGTTATTAATTTTTAAATGGGGCCGTCCTCACACATGAGAAGTTTGCAATGTACCTGCACTATATACTGATCTTCAGGCTTGTCAAAAGGTACAATACGAAGTTGAGGAACAGTTCGTTGTCTCTCATATACCACACAGTAGTTCTGAAATACATCCATGTCATCCAAGAAAATCTGGTGATTTAAATAAAATATGTAGTTTATACAAGATCATTGCATTCACTGTACTGAGGTCCCAAGCATGGGAGTGTCCCGTATGTGTACACCTCTCTAATGAGGCAGACACCTTCCCTACTTAAGAGAGGTGGCTCAATGATTGGAGCAAAACATTGCAATGAGTAAATAAATGAAATGGTTGTTCATGTACTAGTTTTATAGTTGAACCAAACATATTTATTTAATTAACTGGGAAACCTTGTTTACATTATTTTTCTTAACTGCCCTAGCTAAGGGACCCTCTCCAAAGTGGACAACCTTGCCAAGAGGACATTTGAGTTTTAGCAATGCAACTATACAAAAAACTCTACACTTGGACATGGGTGGGGTAAAATTATAATATTGTATAAACAATCAATTTTTATTAAGTAACTAACCTCAGTTTTGTCTGTAACAAATGTTTCCCAGTTTTCTTTCCCTGGATTGCTCTTCGGTGCAGTCATCACCTGGCAATCAAATGCATGAGACAATAGACATCTCACATGTATGCACAAAGTTTGACAGTTATCTAGCAAAGATTGCACAGGTGGTACAGTACATGTAGGCTAGTGACGAGAAGTTATGAAATTTATACATCCAAGGGAAACAGTGCAGCCCTGTCTTGAAAACATCCTGTTTATACTATGACCAACTTATTATAACAGCCAATTTTTTTTTTTTTTTGGTCTGCCTAAGAAAATGCTTTTTCTAGTCATTTAATTATCATTTTAAGAACCAATTTCAAAATACAACCACTTTTTTCTGGCTCATAGGAGGTCAATATAAAAAGAGAAACAGTGTCACTGCACTCATTGCTACATGTAAGCAAGATTAGGGAGGTTATGCATGATTTCCAAATCCACAAGTGTGCTATCAGAGAAAAAAGAATCATCTGTCTGATATCTGGACTGTGGATTCTACACACTAATACATTTTAAGAACAAGAAATCAAACTTCACAGACCTTATCAAACTTTTGCAGCATGTTTTTCCTCATTTCAAGGACAAAACTTAGTAATATTACATAAATTTTTCAGTTACACCCTTATTAAAGTGTATTTACTCTGTAGTTTTTATCATCAGCATTTGTAATGATGTAAAACCGGTCATCCCTATGGTCAACATAGTATTCCATTCCCTGCTGCCTGGGATGTAATGGCTGGGAAATAAAGGACCCATCCCTGATGTCGACAATGCTAACCTACAATGAAGAAACACAGCAACATGTCTAGTCATTAGGGTGACTACAACTTGTACAATGTATGCAGTTTTGAATTTGTATGTTGGTTTGCTTTTTGGGGTTCTGTAAGACCAACAAATGTAAAGAAATGCATGAAGCTACACACTGTCAATTGCAATTTCCAGAGGGGTGGAACCCTGGGTCTTATAAAAAATCCCTTCCATGGGGAAAGTACAATGTATTTGGATATTTTCTGGAACTACGTTGTCTTGTAATTATTACATGTGTATACTAATTAATGGTGATGTAAGAACAGAATCAATGCCTGACAAATGTTGTGAACCCCACTATGGTTTAAAGAAAAACAAATAATAAATGAATTCTGGTAACTGTATAGTTGATGGCAATTGATGGCATTGTGTAAGTGTGCTATTGATAGATATAATTTCGCACAAAATAATTGTATACTATTAGTTGATATCTATTAAAATATACCGGTATTTCATTTGCATGTAAGTTTGTCACAATAACTTTCATTACTCTAGCACATAAATGCAGAACTTTACACTTACTTCAGAGGTTGATCTTGAGTTACAGTTGATTGTAATGAACTTCCTGTCTTTAGTAACACTCACATCAACAATGTATCTGCAAAAAGAAATCACCTAGAATGAAAGGAATGCTCAATCATGTAAAAGCTCTTCTTTTGTGTCTTAATTTACATTCACAAAAAAAAAGCAAAGTTGGATCCTCAGAGGATCCAAGAATTCATTCTTAAATTAAATTTTTCCATTTGTTTTTATTTTGTACTTTAAACACTGCCATCAGCAGCGCATTTTTAGTTATAGCAATTCCACTGAGGTTTACACCTGATTTTCAAGTAAATTAAAGTACAACATAATTACCCTCCAAACGTACCTTTCATCTTCCTCTTCATACAAGACAACATCTGACAGAATGCTCTGACAAGTTTTGTGCCACAAAACAGTATATGGTCGATTGTTATCATCCGCCCTGGTATAGTACAGGGAGAGGTCATCACTTCCCCATTCTAAATTGAAAGCACATCCATGTACATTGTACACATTACATAATTATACTATATTAGGTAAGCCTCCAGCTGTGATTTATTAGTACATTATGAGTCCAATCTGCAGCTGGAGTGATATTGAAAATCATGCATTTCAGTTACATTGATCAGCCAGTAAGTTCCAATAATACTACAGTTGAACCTCACTACTTCGAACTCTCAGGGGAATCAAAAAATAGTTCGAATTAGCAGGAGTTCAAAATAGCCGACAGCAAATGACTGAGGAACAAATCCAAGGAAAATGGTTTTGAGTTCGAAATAACGGGGGATTAAAAAAAAAACCAATTTAAATTACTGGGGTCCCACTCTTGACTGTATATATGTCCACATGTCACAATATTTGCCGCACAGTTATGTGCATTTGGAAGACAATCATTATATAACTGTAAATTGAGACCTGAGCATTCAAAATAAGAACCTAGAAACTGAAACCATTATTATGTGTCGGGTATAGACTAATAACTCTGCCCTTATCTGACCATCTTAAGAATAATACTTCAAACAGTAACTGCAGTACTTAGTCTAGTTACTGGGCTGGCAAACTATATAACCTCAGCTGGAAACTGGCAACTCACCAAAATTGACAACTTTAGGTATGGCATCAATAAAGTTGATTATTCCTTCATGTGCTTCTGTAATATATAAGCTGTGAGTTCCCTCACCACTTTTGTCGAGCAAGAAACCAATATACTAAAACAGGGACATAGAGAAACGGGTAAACAATTAACAACAATACATGTACATTATTTAGTTTCACACACCACCAACAAAAGGCTTTTTAAAAAATCCCTTTTCCCAGTGCAAAGTCATGTACTACACGTAAGCTCAAATACCACACAGGCGACAAAGAACTGCTCCACAAATAAATCAGTTTAGTCTGTATACTCTTTAGAGAAGAGAATGATCATCACAGTTATGAACACAACTTATTTAACAGCAGCTGCTGTGAAAGTAAGGCCTGAAAAAAAATTCAAACTTCAATGGGATTTACATGTAAACCCATGACATCTGCTATTATACTGGTGCAGTGTATTGCACCTGAATTTTTTGCTTTATTTTCACAGCTGCCTATTTAAGTTGTGTATATGTACATATCTGTGATAATCATTCAAAGACATGTCTTCATATCTTTCTTTGCAGTTCAAATAATTATGTGATCTCTAAATTATAATTATTCACAAGTTTGCACTGTATACTCTGGACTGATACAACATGTAAGTCCCCTCCCAAAAAGGCTCTCTCCTTATTTTCCAAAACACTGTCTAATGCATGCTGGCCAATTAACAAACTCACAAAGACTAGATCAAAGAAATATCCCCCACCTTTCCTGAGGGAGACATTTTAATCTTTGTTATGTCCACATGAGAGTATCTCTCAAGTAACTCATTTTCATCGAGAATTGTTTCTGGATCACCATAGGAACCATCTGATGATAGAATAAAATACAATAATTTATACAGTCATTGGATAAGTATATACTAGACACTCAACATATTCTTAACTTCTATTAAAAGCATGTGAATCTGACTGGTAATAATCTGACTCCAATAAATCATTATTGTCTATTTGCCCATAAAATCGATCACATGACCATGCATAAAATGTGCTCTTGAAAGGGAAAATTGTTCTCAGCTTTTGATTTTGGACCACAATGTCCATCACAGAATTCATGTCTACTAATTAAAACAAAAATACACCTCTAACCTACTTAAAAATAACTCAGGGCTGCAGTCTATGTGTTTCAATAGAGTACTGGTAATAAGCCCAGGGGAGAACTCCCATATAAAAGGATGGGGGTGCTTGTCAGAAATTTTGAAAAGAACCCCTTCAAGGTACCAAGATACTGTTTTGTGGGCATGGCTTGAACTTTTTTCACCCCCAAGGGCTACCAATTCTAAAACAACATTATCTCTCCAGACATTTTTTTTTGGCTCAACAACCTAAAAGGTACAGCAAAAGCTCCTGCTGTGGACCTTTTGAGGCTGAATACCCTAAGAGGCACCAAACCTGCTTTTTTAAACTATATTATTATATGGAGAAGAGTGTTTTACTGGGAACTAAACCACTCGTAGATTCCGTACGCCACTTCATCCGGGACCCGAGTGGCGTATTTTCCGTATGTCACCTTTGTGAGTGTCGTATCGTTCAATGAAGTCACAATTCCCGCCTTTTGCTTTTGTTGAATTGGTTTCTCCATATAATAAAAAGAACATTACACGTTGGCTCGAAGATATGAATTTTATGTTCTCGTGGCAAGAACAATATCTCACTCATTCGCTTCGCTCACTCGTGAGATATTATTCTTGCCACTTGAACATAAAATCCATATCTTCTCGCCACCGTGTAATATCCTCTATATGTGTGAGGCTGTATGTTTTGGAGCACAATGCTTCCCTTAAATACCTTCTAATATTTTTCTTCTACGATACACAGGAAGATAGAAGTTTTTCGGTGGATTGCTCAGATGATACACATAACCATCTAGTTCCTAAAAGAAAAGACAGGTTAAAAATTAACACTGTAAATAAAGTATAAAGTGATACATGTACAAACAGATCATTCACCTGTTATTATTTTTGAGAATATTTATTCCAGTCCAGTGCATACAGTATTCCTTAATTCTTGGTGCAGTAACAGGTTTGATACTGACAGACTCCTCAAGAGACTGTTCTGATCACCAGTAATATTGTGTATCAATAATAATAATTATTGCAAAATTATAATAATTTGAGCTTTAGGAGAACATATAAATTTATTGAATAAATCTGACAGACTCACTTCTGGTACTGACTCATTGTCAAAGTGCTTCTCTATAATTTCATTCATTTCCTTTACCAGTTTCTCTTGGAAGACTTCCGTGTCGGCCAATACAGCATCAGCATATCTAGAAAATAATGGCAGTGATAACAGAGATTGAAGTAAACAAAAAGCATACATACATTCCTGCACAGCAAAAACTGCTGAATAATGCGAGGGAAGCCATGGAAAAAAATTGAACAACTGCTTTCTACTATCCGGGTCCTATTTTTGAATTGATGTTCAAACATTTTTCACATTAGCTGCATGTATTGCTCACCAAAAGAAATCATGCACCATTTAATTAATTAAAGCTGAGAAAAAAAATCAATGCCCCTGAAAAAATTCCTCCTACCAGTACAGATTTTTATTAAAGGCTATTAATATGTTTACTTGAAATATCTGTTGCATTTAGTGTAAGTGGCATGCCTGAGAACTAGCTGAATACAGCCCACTTGGAAGCCCATTGACCGCTACAAACATTCAACAACCAGTGTGTCATAGACCATAGGTCTTAACTTGGAAACTTTTTTTACGAGTGACTTGAGTCAACAACTGATAAACATCTTACCGGTATTTGTATTAAGTGTACATGTAGCATGCCTATTGGTGGACTTAATGTACTTTTACATGCAGTATCATCATTTCTTTCCTTAGATAAACTACTGTAAGAGACTAGTGTCTCACCTGTTTTCTTGTTTTATATATTTTCGAACAGCCTAGGTTGACAATAGGAAGGAAAGATAAATTCAGAAATTAATTTGATTTATACATGACCAGCACTGTTAGCAGTCAGTGGAACTGAGTATTTATAAAATAACTCACATTAACTATGTGTGCACTCATTGGTCGATAGGTGTGTTTAGATGAGAGTACATGTTTGTACACACAGTTGTGAGGTTTCAGATTTACACATATTTTGGAGAACTAATTTATAAAAGCAATGAAGTACTTTTCTGTGTTTACATAGCCCCGTCTTAAAACACCTTGGGGACTGAGAGAGTTCTCAAAAAGTTATGTAACCCTTGACTCTGTCTCGGGGTTCGCATAACTGTCCCAAATTCTCTGAACTACCCCTCATGTTTAGATGAGGCTATGTAACCACAGGAAAAGCGCTGTCTTACTTAAATATATCACCAAAGTCAGCCATGTCCCAGTCAAATGATAAAATCTATAGTTTAGGTAGCCTTCAGATCAATGTTAAAGTTTTCCTACCAGTGTATCAAACATGTATCAGTCGTACTGTCGGCCATTCTCTGTATGCTTTGCAATCCATACCAGTATCGTTAAGTTAGACAAGCTCATAGCTTGAGAGTTCTCCCACTTTCCCACCCACCCCTCCCTGGAAGGTAAAAAAATCGACTCAATATTGTTACAGCAAAGTCAAAGAGCATGTAGTAAACTTATGGCGAATCTGACACAATCATCGAAGTAATGCCAGTTGTGTTTCACTTTCAGAAAGGAAGTAAGCCCATGAACAGTAAAGGGGGTGGGGGTGGGGGACGCTACAGCATGGCTGATTACGAATTCTTTGGAGGAGATTTTTCAGTTAAGCTTACCTTTGATCCACGTTTTTTCAGCCAGTGAAAATCGTCTTGAAGTTCAACACCGTGTACCGTTTGATAGCTTGGATCTTTCTTTGGTCTTGGCTCACTAGGAGATGCTCCAAACAGCCTTGAAAGGAAACCGATCGACGATAAACCGCGCGAGCCTCCATGTGAGTGCAGAGGGGCGCGCGAGGCAAACGTCGCTTTGAGCAAGCGGTAGATCCGCATGTTTTCAGCTTAACGAAAATGACAATACAACGTGCTGCGTTCTGTCTGCACCATTTTACGATCACTGTTCTGGCAAGTTTTGGAACTTTTCATACATAATTTTTCCTCGTGCGGTCAGAGCTGTTGTTTCCTGCCGACCAGGATAGTTCAGCGGCAATTCCCACCTTTAACAGATGATTTGTGTTTCATGAAATGAAAATTGTCTTGTACCTCGGGCGGCCAAAGCATCACGGGTAGAAAAATTTGTGACATAAAAAGAAATATGAGTAAAACAAGTGTACGTTATCACGCAAAGTAGGTAAAATTACTCGACAGCTTTTAAAAGGACTTTCACAAGGGCCTTCCAAGTTTGAACATCAAGCGCTCTCTGTTTTAAAAAAGTTTACGTGTCTCAGTCCGGGCCAGAAGCAAGCTCGGCTAGCTAGTAATACTGACTCAAATTTTCCCTCAAATACAGGTATTTGCGAACTTTGGGGACAATAGGCCTGTACTAAAAAGAATCTGATTAAACACTAGAATGACTACAGTACTGTAAATAAATGTGGTAAACACAAATTGCCTTCTTAGGGGGCATTGTTTTTAGTCTCGTCACTCAATCGTTTTTTAGCGCCCGTTTACAAGAAGGGTTAACCCTAGCTGAAGGGCAAAAGATAGCCCGGGTTTACAAGCAACATTTCACCGGTAGGGTAACCCTACAACCCGGGACGACTTAATGCCCAGTTACACTCAAGGGTCTGGAAACAAGTAGAAAGTTAACCCGGGTAGGCGGGTTAACCCTACCTGGAGTGTTTACAAGAGAAAAAGTTAAAATGTTTAAGCAAGCAACCGGAACGATGATCCTGCTGGTGTACGTTGGATCAGTAGTGATCTAATCGGCTTTACTTATAAAATGAAGAATACAAAAGCTAAAACCGACACAAACCAGCCTTCTTCAGGTACAATGAAAATTTTACATTGGGACGTGTTTTTATGTTGCCGATATTTACGTAATACAGGAAATACGTAAAAGTAATTGACAGTGTAAATTAAGGATAAGCATACGATAAAATAAAATAACATGATAAAAGAACGTAATAAAAGAAAACAAATGGAAACAACTAATATGTTTCTTCGCGGATGTTCAGACCATCAGGATCAATTGTTCTGCTTTTTTGAATTAAAAAAGTTTCCCTGGCCTTACGGATAGAGTCTCGGTTCGAAAAGATTTTTTCGATGGGGATTAATTGCATGTCGTTAGTAGCGTGGTTAGGAGAGGACAGGATATGTTCGGCGGCTGTAGTAGGTTTAGGGTAACTCGCATACCCAGGTAACCCTGGCTGCCTTGTAAACAGGACGAAGGAGAAAAAGAGGAAATGCGTGAGTGCTAGGGTAACCCGCTTGTTAGGGTAACCCTCTCTCCTTGTAAACAGGCTCTTGCTGCCCTTCTCGACAAACGTGCTTAAAATAAATAAGCTGCGCGCTTAAAAGAGTATTTCAAAATAAGGCAAGGTAGAGGGCGAGAGATGACTGACATTTCAGGCTAATATAAACAATGAAAAATCCAAAGAGAATCGGGGTTTCCACGGAGTGTTATCGGAGCACGTCAAAAATGACTTTTTCACTTCAGTAGAGGAAAGAAGAAAGAAAAACTGTGTGACCAGGGTAATTATTCGGGACCCTCCCTCTGTAATGTGACCGACTTTCGTCTGTGTAGAGTAAAAGAACACTTGCTAGCACTTAGAGCTATAACATAATTTATGGTTATAGCATATACCATGAACATTTTACTTTTAAATTCAATTGGAAAGCCGCCAAGCACTCGAAAAAGTCACGGAAGTTTTACTTACTGGATGAGAAATTTACGAAAGAGCTCGTGATCCGAAAGACTATTAGAAAATTTTCACAATATTGACGAAAAAAATGCCACTATTTAAATACTCTTTAGAAGACCGGTATCACAGACATGCAAGAAGGATCTCTTTCCGTTCACTGAACCTAAGTGCAGAAAGGCAGTTTGTCCTTTTCTAACTAATCAGGGACCGCGGAGGGAAAGGGGCTGGTACGGCTGTAGCTGCCCTGGTACTTTTTTGCTTGGGTTGGTATTTTATGGCGCACAAATGCATGATAAATGGCGTAAGAGTGACTCCTGATGCTTGTTTTTATTGGCCAGATTTTCAGTCCTGCCACTTTAAAATGGCCTCCGCGGTCCCCGCTAATCTTTGCTTTCTGCACGTGTTAAAGGGAGATATTCGTCGCGGACTTAACGGGGTATCAGCAAATGCAGGTCGATGGTTGCCTCTTTTGGCGCTTATTACCATAACCTCTAGAACTTCTTAACTCATTGGCGAGCGTGATATCATCCGTGGCTCCGGTGCAAACTATTAATCTTGAGCGGCCCTTGGACTGTCCTCGGCATTGGCTGACAAAAAAAGCTATCTCCATATTATCAAGGTAGCGTGAGGTTTGTAATGAGGAAGTATTTGTCAAGTTATTTTGTTTTGCAATTTTTCCATAACCAGACCAATTTTTCCCAGAACAGACTAAACAAGCGAACTCAATATAGTTATTATCACGACTGGTTCGTTTACAACCCTGCTAATAATGTATAAATTTGTTTCCGTTGTTCATTCTCGGTAAACGAACACGCCGTCAAAATTAAACATTTATTAAGTATGTTTTCCAAGCCGCTTTCGTGAAACTTAAAATCAAATTGTCTGCAGCGAGAATGAGAGAAAAAAGATTTTTACTCAATAACAACCTATTTTTCATGCGATGTTTTGAAAAAGTAATTCGTCCAAACTTTCATTTCTGAGCGGGCCATCTTAGCGGTTCGTATGACAAAATTTAGATCGCTCAGTGAACCAATCAGAATTCTTCTTTTTATCGATCGTGTACCAGATTGCCATAGAACAAAAACAAATTAAAAGTTCAATATTTAATGGACTGCTGCCACTCTCCCGGACTCTGCGCTTAGTGCAATAGTCCAGCTTTGACACGAACGTTCAGTCCTTTCAGGATTTTTTTCGTTTCTTGAGAGACGCAAGTTCCATTTTTACCGGGCTATCACACATGATACAATACGAGAGAAATCTACCTTTTGCGTTTTATACCGACAAACTGTCAACGAAGCCAGCATAGTTTAGACCTGACTACTGATAGAAAAAATGTTTAAGCTAGGCGAGTCCTTGTTCTCTCAGATAAAAGTTCGAATTGATGTTAACAAATATTTTTCAAATTAAATGAAACTGGAATGACATTTTGTTTCTCCTAATTAAATTACAGCTAAAAGTCGCACTCTAAAGTAAAAAGCCAGACTTTTAGGCGCGTATAATTTCGCTTTTTCGCTTGGTACTTGAGAAATCAATTAATTGTACAAGGCATGGCATAAACCTTCAATCAAATTCTTGCTTTGCGTCTGAAAAAACAATTTGCGGATTAGTATAAATGCACTTAATTAGAATATATTAACTCAGTGAAGAGGCATCCCACAGTACAAATTAAGCGGTGCATTTCATTCACCACTAGTAGAAAGAGCAACACTCGAATCTCTTACTCTGTGGTTTCCTGTTCTGGCACAGCTATGAACAAGTTCTCCTCCTCGTTGGTTTTCCTGTGCATCGTTGTTTCGTTTCTACTGTTCGTTTCTACTCAAGATGGCGAAGCTGCCTTAGCAATCCCTCACTGTCCCCATAGACCAGGCTGCCCGAAAACGAGAGCCAAGAAAGAACCATTTCTGACCTGGAAATCACAGGTAAAAAAATAAATTCGGGTTTTATAAGAATGTTTAGGCTTCAGTTTATTTTTCCGCACGACCAGCAAAGGATTTTTGTGGTCTCAAGTATTTCCGAGGGACTTTCTACGTCTCTGGCTGATGATGCAATTAAGACTTACATATATACCGTGACGGAGTCTTCAGATAACTTACTGACCCAACTTAATAACTTGAGTTAGCCCATAAACTGGTGTCACCTGTTGTTACCAGAGGAAAGAGGAATATTTATCCATTTCCATTCCTCAAACCACAAAAAAGGCGACCAAAACTTCTTGGGGTATAAGAGATTTAAGTGTCTGGTATCGGTGTTCATTTTAACTCATCTTTTGCATTTTGATTTGCCCCACGTGTGGGCGTGGAAAATACGCCAAGAATTGTAAAGATATATTATGTTATTGAACTTGCGTGAAGTCCGAATTGGAGAAAACTTTGTATAGTTCTTTTCTTCGCAGGTTTACGGACCGAGCCGCAGGCGAGTTCCATAAACCTGCGAAAAAGGAAAACAACGAAGATAACAATATTTCTCCAATACGGAGCAAAGAAGCTAGTTCAATAAAGTGTCTGCTGGTAAACTGATACGTCTCCACGACCCATTCCCGGTAAACGAGCACGCGAAAGCTAACATGTCATTTATTTACGATTCTCACGTCGCGTTTGTGAACATGTAACTGAATTTGTCCTCCAAAAATGAAGGTAAAAAGATTTCTACTTAACAAAAAACTGTTTATTTTGTGAATAAATTGAAAAAGCAATTCGCCGAAATCAATATGCGCGCGGTCCATCTTAGCGGTTCGTATTGCAAAATTTGGACCGCTAAAGGAACCAATTAGATTTCTCCTTTTGATCGCAGAGTAGTTGAGCCACATAAGAAAGAGCCACATTACACCTTGAAGTGCATGAATTGCCTGATAAGACACATAATCATGCCGTTTGTAACAATACATCGAGAAACGAGAGACCATTTCCAACACTACATAAAACTGTTTGTTTGATATTGCAATTGTTCTGTCAATAAACTCAACTGGAATTTCTGTTTTCAGTTGATTCGTTCCAGGAGAGCAAGCATTTGTGAGACCGCGCTCGCTCTAAACTGCAGAGGACTGGACGACGATCAAAGCTGAAACACCTGGCAACAGAAACTTAACGTGGGACAAAACCTGAACACAGGGCCATGTCAATAAAACAAATGTTTAAAAGTAATTAGCCTGCTTTTTGGTGCATTGTGTTTCTTATCTTGTTAAAAATATACACCATCTGATTCCATCTGGTTCCTTTTGGTCTGAAGCCCCCGGACTTATCAAAACCGGTCATTGTTTGATATACGTTGCGTGGGTTCAAATTTGTTAACAGTTGGACTTTTTGCTTCAGATTTGGTTTTTATTTTCCTCTTACATACTCATTATCAAAATCTAAAACAAAGGAAAAGGAAAGTCAAACTAGTCGTATAAAACTCAGACCAAAAGTAAAAAAAAAAAAAAAAGAAAATCAAATTCTAAAAAGGGCAGGTGAGTCAAACCTGTTTTAGGGCAACCCATTGAGCGGCCAGTTATGATAAATTTTGTCAGTAACATACTGTAAATGAAACCCCTAACTTCGTTATACCTTATTATTTATCATTTTTACCTATGTCCATCTACCTTAAAGCGTATGTTTGTATTTTAGTAAATTGACGTGGTCGTACTACTATAAGCTTCACGCTAATTCATAACGAGCCCTTATTGTAGCTCATGATTAAGCAGTAACCTTCCATTTCCCAAAGGTGACCGGTTAATATGGCTTTTAGATTCAAAATTTCCAACCGGAAGATCCAAAATGTGCGTACCACCCCAGTATCGACTCGTACGAACTCGTAAGCTACTCACAGCTCAGTTTCACGAGGGTGGCAAAGGTGGGGTACCAATCACGCGTCACGCTGAATTTTTCCATTAAATCACGCATCACGGAGATTTTTTTCACCAATCATGCGTCACATAAAAAGAAGTAAGTACATCGCCAATTTTACTTTCTCGACCCTAAAAGCGTCGTTAAAAGAAGAACTTTACCGATTCAACCACAAAAATGCGTCGGCAAATATGTGACCTCTCACGCGAAAACATTCCTTACGGTATCTGTTCGAACGGCTGAACGCACGTGAACTAGCCTGCGAACAGGCTCCCAGCGCGCGAGGGAGGATAAAATATCTGTCGGGAACGGAAAAAAAAATTCGCCGAGCGAAGCAAGCCGTTAAGCGCGACAAAAAGAATTCCTCGAATTGCGCTCCCCCTGGTCACCATTCCGCTCTCGGCTCTCCCCGCTCGCCCTACACCACACTTGGCTAGTTCGCACTAAACCCATTAACCCAACCGGAAGCCTTTCCCAGGCTACGAGTGAACGGATAATTTGAATAACGATAGTCAATTTGCTTGTTCCAAGATATCTTAAGACCACTTGGTTCTACATGAGTTGATAACCACTCAATATGATAAGTAATGACGCTAAAAACGATTTAATGAAATGCAAACTGTGAAGGTAAATGTTAGAGATTCATGAGATGTGGGTTTTGTAGGTATATGTTGGGAATTAATACGATGAAAGCTAGGTAGATATATGTGGGGGATAAACGAGATGTAGGCTGTGTAGGTATATGTGGGGGGTTGAGGAGATATAGGCAGTATAGGTATATGCTGGTGTTTAATGAGATGTAAGCTGTGTAGGTAGACGGGGGGATAAATGAGATGTATACATTTGGGGGGGGATTGATGAGATGCATGCTGTTTAGGTGTATGTGAGGGATTAATGAGATGTAGGCTGTGTAGGTGTATGTGGGGGGTTAATGAGATGTAGGATGTGTAAGTATATGTAGGGAAATGATGAAGCGTAGGGTGTGTAGGTATATACGTGGGGGATTAATGAAATGTAGGGTGTGTAGGTATATATGTGGGGGATTAAAAACAAGTGGGCTGTGTAGGTATATGTGGGGGATTAATGAAATGCAGGCTGTGAGGGGATATTGGGGGGATATTTATTGGGGGAATATTTATAGGGGGGATGGTTCAGGAAGAAACTTCATTAGATATCCAGAGGGTATTGTTTTAAGAGAGATTAAGAGAGCTGTGTATATTGCGGTGGAGTTAATTAGCCGCCCAACCATCCGGGTGGTGTCGCACTTATAAAACGAAAGAACAAAAGACTTGGCTGTGAGCCAATGAGAAAGCACTGACATCATAGCCAAACTGGACAAACCAGTTTCTGACACCGGCTGGATTTGATCATTCAAAATGGCGGACATACCTCAATTTAAGGTTATAATATGCAAATGAACCAAACATTCTTTATATGCACGCTCATGTTCTGTAACGGCTTTGTAATTTATGCTATACATACAGTTATATATTTAAATACGCATTCACCTTGTGTATCTTGAGTACAGTAGCCAGATTAAGCCCTGTTTGATGACATTTGTTTAAGGTTCTCTCTGCCATCTAATATTACGTGTTGCAGCGAAAGTGTAGTTCAAATGCGTCGACAACGTCCACCGTCTACGAATGCCTACGAGCGAAAACAACTTCTGGTGTCACGCCGCCAAAAGCATCACAATTTTCAACGTTATTCCACCAGATATCATTGTCTCCGCAAGATTTAGATTTGAGGTCAATTAAGTAGTGAGATCCTCAAGAACTGGAAGCTATGGAAAGAGAAATACTGTAATAATTACTTGGTTTGGAGCGGGAGAGCCCCGAGTATCAACTCGCCATGTTCAAGGACGTTATTGATGACGATGGCCTTTAAGTGTTCAAAGCCTTTTGCTATACTGAAGAAGAAGATGCAAACGATTGCTGTGTAGTAATGGCTGGGGAAGATGAAAAGGTATTGCATCGGCGTAGTAACGTAAACGCGATTGTTTCAGCAGGAGGGAAAAATTTCCTACCGAAACGCTCGACAACTTAATCGCTGAATTAAAAGGAACCTTGGCAAAGGGCTGCAATTTATGTGATTTTTTATGGTTTTTACACGATATTCTCATCAGCGTTCGATTGTTCTTGGGATAAAACAAGTGAGTAAAGTACAAAGCGGCCACTTAGGATGACAGACCGCCTTAAACAAGTGTATCGACCTTCCAGCATCCGAGATGCAGTCATTTTGCGGTCATTTTGCGTTGTTGTTTCGCAGAGAACGGCTATGAAATGTACAAAGGTTTACTGAACACTCTTGTACAGCCTTTGTTTTGCTTATTAAACATTTTGTTTGGTGGTGTTCATTGACGTTGATAATCAGACGGCGTTCTTCAATGAGGCCTAAAAGAAAAAAATCGGAGAAGGTCCCGCGCAAAGGAGAAATGCACCATAAATAAACACCGTAAACAAATTCAATATTTAGGAGTGGAACTCTTTAAGGACCTCGATCAAGTTTAATATTCGTTATAAGTTTACTAGCATTATCACGAACGATGACCCGGTGGCTAAATAAAGTTTTACTCTACTTACTTTTACTGTCGGATTTATCAGAAAGAACCTGGAATACATTTAAGAAAAACTCTTGTTATTCATTAGTAAGAGACTATCTGTGTGGGATTCACATACCCAAAAGGAAATTTATGACATCTAGATCTTGGATATACAATTTATTATCGAAACCAGGGTATGTGATTCGCATACCTAAAAGGAAATTCATGACATACAGATCTAAGGTGTACAACGACAAGCCGCTCGTTTTGTTAAACGTTTTTATTATTCCCTAATAAGACAATCGGGAGCCTGGTCACAGGCTGAGTTGGCAGAGATCTTGTATACGAACTGAGAAGACGTCTACGCCACCTTCGCCATGTTCTAATATACAGGCAATATTTCTGTCAAAGCTTTACACCTGCAAATCCTTTTCTGTGCGGCAACGTTTTTATGTCTGTAAAGGATATAACGTGACTTTTGAGTTAGGTCTTTATGACGACCTTCATTAAGTGGCACACAAACGTTTCCCTTGTGTAGTCTTTCGTTGCTTACGCAACTGTCTTCTCGAGCGGTATAAAATGACACCAGATTCTAACGTGTGTTATCGTTTCAGCCCTTTTGGCCGAAATTCGTTCAGACCTTTTATACGATAGCCGGATTCGGATATGGTGTGTCATATTCTCTTGGTCCATTGCACTGCCAAAAATAATCGGTCGACAAAATGGACAAAAACAACACTGAAGCTCATAGTCCTTTTGCAAAGTTTAACTATTTTCAATTGACTTATTCCTATAATTTGCATCACAATTTTTTGGACTTTTAGTACCATGAGATCTACAAAGATCAAAGACATCAGGGGTCAAGAAAAGTACGAAAAGGACCAGAAAATGGTGTCACGTCTGCCACGATTTGACGATCTTTTTTAAGACTCTATTTACTACTTACTTTGAATGAATTCTATCCTTCTAGTTCAAAGGACGTTCACTTATCACGGAAATCTAATTGGTAAATCACGCACCACGTGCTTGTATAATAGCAAATCCCGCATCACGTTATGATGTTCTGTCCCGTGTCACGCAGCTAATTTGGTCTCAATCACGCATCACGCTGCTAATTTTGGGCCGATCACGCGTCACGCAAAAACCCTTTGCCACCCTCTTTCACGCCCTCTGATAAGTAGAACACGCAAAAAGGTCATCGACAAGATTCCGATCTCACTCCGGATTTTTGCGCACCATATGCCCAAACCGTCTGAGTCGCCCAGTTTCTCCGTGAAAAGGGTAGACAAACAGAAAGTGACTCGTTTTATTGAAAACAGTTTAATTTAAGGTAGAGTTGACATTAATAAGCTAAATTAGGTGATACACAGTCAAAAGATTGTCGATTCTTTTTCCCGAGATAGAATAATTGTTAAAACATATTACTTTACGATTTTTAACCAGGGTTATTCTAGGAATCACTAACGTGATCGAATAGTCCCCTTTTGATAGCTAATGTAGGTTTTTTGTTTGCAATTACCATTCATCTGGGAAACATGATTTACACAGTACAAACGTTTTCTAAAGTCGTCTTCACTCTTATTTTAAAACAGCAAAATCATTCTTAAAGCTGCGAAGTCACTCAGTTACTGTCAAAAAAGGGAGCAGGCAAAGTATTCTTGGGCTTAAACCTCGTGTCTCACGTACTGTCAGAAAAAAGCACCAAGCCAGCTCTTCTTGGGCTTGAAACTCGTGTCTCAAGTACTGTCACAAAAAGGGACCAAGCCAGCTCTTCCTGGGCTTGTAACTCGTGTCTCACGTACTGTCACAAAAAGGGACCAAGTCAGCCCTTCTTGGGCTTGAAACTCGTGTCTCACGTATTGTCACAAAAAGGGACCAAGCCAACTCTTCTTGGGCTTGAAACTCGTGTCTCACGTACTGTGAAACAAAGGGACCAAGCCAGCTCTTCCTGGGCTTGAAACTCGTGTCTCACGTACTGTCACAAAAAGGGACCAAGCCAGCTCTTCTAGGGCTTGAAACTCGTGTCTCACGTACTGTCACAAAAAGGGACCAAGCCAGCTCATCTAGGGCTTGAAACTCGTGTCTCACGTACTGTTACAAAAAGGGACCAAGCCAGCTCTTCTAGGGCTTGAAACTCCTATCTCACGTACTGTCACAAAAAGGGACCAAGCCAGCTCTTCCTGGGCTTGAAACTCGTGTCTCACGTACTGTCACAAAAAGGGTCCAAGCCTGCTCTTCTTGGACTTGAAACTCGTGTCTCACGTACTGTTACAAAAAGGGACCAAGTCAGCTCTTCCTGGGCTTGAAACTCGTGTCTCACGTACTGTCACAAAAAGGGACCAAGCCAGCTCTTCTTGGGCTTGAAACTCGTGTCTTGCGATAATCTGTCTGTAGCTAAGTACCGCTGAACAGTAAACTTGTTCTCCCGGATGTACTGCAAACCCTAAGGAATTCCTTCAGCGGTAGACACAAAACGCTTGGTCTTCAGCAGGAATCTAGTACCACTCTCCGCTCTAACTGCCTTTTCGGTTTTTCCGATGAAGCCACCTTCATTAATAAAACGAAAATCAATTATGTTAGGCAGAATTTAGAATAAACTAAATGAAAGGAGAGAAGACGTATCGCTATGTTATAGACTAGGCTAGGCTAGGCTGGGTTTTGCTAGGCTAGGGTACCAAGAGAAAGGAAAGGGAAGATAAGAAAAGCGAAACGAGGAGTAGGAGAAAAAAGGGAATGGAAAGGAAGGGCAAGGACGAGAAAAGAAAGGATTGGGTAAGGCAAGTGAAGGGAATACGAGAGGCGTCCCAAACTGGTCCGCATTGACCCACATGGATGAAATCTCCCAGCAATTTTTCAGGTTACAGAACAGTCTCTTTGTAGATACACTTAGGTGGAGAGAAGCTGTGAGAGAAAAGTGTCCTGCCTTAGAGCATATACTGACATTGGCCCCTTCAGCATTTATGAGCCTAGACTATTCAATCCCGTCAATAGCAGCCACAGGGTAGTGGCAGAGGACATGACAGCAGTAGCAGAGGCAGAAATGGCAGTAATTAGGGAGTTTACGAAACCACGACGACAACGGCGTGCGCTATAATTCTTGGTACATTTCTTTGCCGTCCTTTGCAAGACAACAACGTGAAATGACCAAATTTTCGGTTTTCTAGAGAACGTGAACCACGACGGCTATTTTTTTAAATTTTTATTTTAAATTTATCGCTGTGTTCCGGATTTAGTTTTGCGATAGTTTTGACAGTCATAAACAAAGCAAATGACTTAAGAGTATTACAAGATTCGTAAGTAAAATATAAACTCATTTTTTAATCGACGTTGTCGTCGGCGTCGCCGTCGTGTTTTCGTAAACTCCCTACTAACAGTAGTGGTGGTGGTGATTGTGATGGTGAGTGGCAGTGGTATTGGCCTCAGTGATAGAGACAGCAGTGACTGAAACAACAGTTAGTGGTGATGGTGATGGTGGTAGTGGCGGCAGTGCTAGTGGTACCATGCTGCTCGTGGTAATCGTCTCAACATAGAAGAGAAAATTAAGAATACAAATAGAAAAAATTCTCTCACCAGTTTCCCACAACTGGTAAATACTGTGCAAGATATAAGTCAACCAATCGTTTTGGAACAGCAATCCAGACTTCTTTCAACTCGTTAACCATGGCAATAATAAGCAGATGCACTGCCCTTTCCGTTTTAATGGTACTTGGAGGAAAATCTTGATCTCTTCGAGTCTGTAAAATGTAAAAAAAAAGCAGGCATCACAATCTATCAAATTAATTACAAAATACTCCGGTATGTGTGCAAGTGTTTTTATGCTGAGGCAATGCAAAACTGCCACATGTGCCTTGTGAGCATTTAGGTCGGCACAGACAAGGGGATTTGTTGCGGGGATATGAAGGGGAAACGTGTTTCAGCAACAGTTTTCTGCGAGTCACCTTCACCTAACTACATCACGCCAAGTGGCGTATAAGGCCTCGAGTGACGTAGCTTTTTTGCGAAAAATTCTGTTGTGGGGACAAAAATTTCGCATGAAATTCAGCCGGCTTGAATTTAGAAATTGACATTCAGGGGCGAAATGACTTCAATTTTCAATGTCGCATCTTGTGCACTGCTCTTGCAAACGTTCCCTGCTACAACATAGAGGTGAACCGAAAAAAAATACGTGTGCAGTAGTTTGACAACGGTCCCAGATCAACACGCGTCCTTACTTCTTTGCACCCGTCCCGGCTTCACGTGCCCGTCACTTGTCCTCTGGTGTATGCCGACGTTTTGGTTTCTCGCACAAAACTGCTCAATAGACATAAACATTGCACTAGATTCTATCCCTGCTCCAAACAGCATACAGTGTAAATGTACCTCCATCATATTAATTATACAAGTACGAGTTAGAAGATTTACAAAGTCCATGAGTAGCCTGGTGACTGAGCTCTACATGTAGGTGTGTCTAATTGCAGTTGTTACCAATGTCAGCTACTGTCAGTAACATCCAGGACCTAAACACCTTGAGGATTTAAAGGTCAAGCTTCACACAGATCAATGAGTAAAACTGGGCAAGTTGATTTTCCACTTACCTGTAGGTTTTCTCGAAGAGCATTCTTTAAAATGTTTGAATGGATTAAACCAGGGCAAACCATAGTGACACCGACGTTTTCGTTATGAACTTCCATTCGCAATGTGTTGAAGTAACCCTGAAAATAATGTTAAGAACTCTCCATAAATGGTGCCAAAGAATCGACTTGATTATTGACTATTATTATGCTAAACTACTAGATTAGGTACTCAATTAACATGGTAGAGTTGATGGAGTGTACTCAAGATTACAACTTTTTTTTCTGATTTCTGGAAGATCTATAGGAGTCTTGATGTTCCTAATTTAAGGTATATGTATGAAAAAGTACCTGGAGAGCATGTTTTGAGGCTGCATATGCAGCACATCTTGAACCAGCTGCAGCTGAAAACAAACGATTTTAAAATGTATTAAACCACTGTAATTTATCTTTTCTCAACAGTTGACTCTATTTCATTGCAAGCTGGCAGTTTCCTGTTGGGAGAGGACCACACTCCAGCCATCCCATCACCCCTGCTCGGTGACCACACTCCAGCCACTCCCATCACCCCTGCTCGAAAGCTGTAAATGCTGTAAAGACAGTCCTGAAGACCTTTCGGGTTGACCCCTTCACCTGGGGATAACCCCTTCATATGGGGAGGCTCCGCCCAAAAGGGGTACCTCTTTCAGGCCTCAGGTATAAAACAGGGTTGGGATTTCACAAGTTGTCATTTAGTTGTCTGTCATTTAGGTAATTAAAAGGGCCTTTAATTACTTAAAATAGTTTGCACAGATGCACCTTGTGGCTGTATAAGCTTGATGGTCTCCAGCAAAATTGTTCAATTAACCACATTCCAAAGGTTTAGAAAAAGGAATCAGTGTGGCAAAGTAGGTATGTGAACTGAATACCTTTTACACTAACATGCATACAAAAAGCAATGGGGAAAACAGAATATAATTTTATCACATTCTACATTTCATCACCTTTCTATTGATATACTGTTTGTGGTGGTTTCCTTAAAAACAGCACGCATACAATTTTTTTCTGGAGGACACCCGCAAAGGTTTGGAGTAACCTTAAAATCATTTTAGCCAGATTTTAGTAAACTCTACATTCACATCCCACACAAGCGGCCCAAGTAGAGCTAAAAAAAACTTGAATTCCAGCTTGCCCTTTGGACAATCAGCTCTCAAATTTTGCTTGCCCTGGGCAAGTCTAAGTTTAATGTTTTCTTATTTCGTTGGCAAAATACTTGCCTGGGCCCTAGCTCATCACACAAGTATGAAAGAAAAGTAACCCGCCTGGCAAGAAAATCTACTCCCGGACAACCAGACAGCCCTTTTTGCGAGACCTACCCAAGATAAGTTTAACTTACCACATTTTCCAGATGCACTACTTAGAACAACAATTTGCCCACTTTTACTTCGAACCATGTGAGGGAGGACAGCTTTGGTTAATGAGATTGTACCAAGCACATTAATGTTCAAGACGGACAGATCTACATCAAGGTCACATTCTGAAGCTAAACCAAGTTGTAAAATGCCTGCATTGTTCACCAGGAAATCAATCTGTAATGAGAAAAAACACATGATATTTACCTCAACAGCTTGATATATATACATGCAGTGTAGGGAGTTTTAGATGCTGTTACTCAATTCATAAAGTTAAGTCAGGTTGGTCACACATCTGGTATTTAAGTTTTGAGTCAACTGTTGCCTTGGTCTTAACACTTGCAGTCTACCGCCTGGTAAAATTAAACAACAAGGGAAGTCCACTGGTATCTTTTATTACATGAGGTAATGACCGAGACACGTTCCATGTAGCATAAGAGAAAGAAATGAGCACATGGTTGACCAGTTGTGGTTTTCTCTTTGAGCTAGTTTTATTGCAAGCATTCCTCTAGTACGCAATAATTTGTACATAGTCCTGATAATTGTAACTCTTTTTAGGTGTCCCCAGTTAGCAGCAATGCTAAATCTCATTGGCAAGTAAATAAAGTTGTTATTATTATTATTATTATTGTTGTTGTTGTTATTGTTATTGTTATTGTTGTTGTTGCTGTTGTTGTTGTTATTATTATTATTATTATTATTATTATTATTAGTATTAGTATTATATATTAAGTGGATACTACAATCCATGACATCAAGGGGCCCATGCAAAGCTGCAACTTGTGTTAAAGGTTTGTTGACTCTTAAAATGGCAGCCAAGTGTTTGCATGATTCTGCTAATTAATTAAGATGTTGTGTTGCCTCAGAAATGTTCTACAATACCAGCAACCTTAATAGTGGACTTGAACAGTATACTAATACTATAATTTGAAAACTTTAAACCACTGAAATGGACAACAATTACAAACATCCCCATTTTTGAAAATTTGGAGACTGAGTTTAACAACCTCCCCTAGGAATGTGGCATTCAAGCTTGAAACATTATTCATCAAATTATATCAAATAAGTAAGTTTGTTTATTAATATCATAAATTTCTTTAATAATTATTAATTTGTCTATTAATTTTGTTAAGTTTATTGATTATACCTTCCCAAAGTGTTGAAAAACTGTGGCTGCACAGTTGTTGTGTGATGTAAAGTCTGTAACATCCAGTGGCACAACAAGAAAATCTTCGTCAAATGTTAATGGAAAAATTTTACTTGCCAAATCTACAAAACAATAAGGAATTCAAGCATGTTAGTAAGCATGTAGTGACCCAATTTTTGCAGCAATTAGTTGCATTGCAAGGTAGTTTTCCTAAGCTGTTTGTCTGTTTACTCTTAGAGTAATACTGGTAAATGGTTTTAACCCAGGAGTTTCAGTAGTTTGTATAGTGTGATCGTGCAGGTGAGGGTAGTTCTGAAAAGAACTGTTGGTGTGACTGACGTTTCTACAACCTGAGCGGAATTCATCTTCAGAGTCAAGTGGATAACTAATTTGTTAGTCAGTCGATGATGTTATAACTCTGATCCTTTGAAAGTGGTCAGTTTAGCCATGATGGTATTAGCTGAAAGACTCACGTAAAGTTTGTCAGCAGTCAATGGTCATAATTGTTTGGTAAGCTGCGACAACAACGAACTACAACTGACGGTGTACAGGAAACTGATGTATACTGACAGATTACTTGATGAATCATCCTACAGCTCAACTTCACACAAGACCATGACTATCAAGACTTTGATGAGACGAGTGCAACTAGTTTGTGACACATTGACAAAAACAGACACCTTAAACATGTTTTCACAAGAACAAGTACTTGATGAAACATTCACAGATTACTGAAACAGAAGCTGACAAAACCAACAGAAACCTGACACTTGTTACTACATGTACAGTGACTATGCCTTACATGAAGGACATCTCTGAGACCATCAAATGGATCCTACAGCCCTACAACATCCGTGTAGCCCACAAACCTACAACTATGCTATGACACTTACTGACCAATGTCAAAGACAAGGTTGAACCCAACGACAGACAGAGAGCAGTTTACAAGATCAAATGCTCCAACTGCCAGGCTTCCTACATCGGTGAGATGAGCAGAAACCTTAACACAAGACTGACTGAACACAAACGAGCAACAAGAAACGGTGATGCCAACAATCACATTGCTGTACATCCTCAACTGATGAACCACAGAAATGACTGGGACTCAGCTCAGTGCTTAACCTACAGTACAAACTATTTTCAATGAATGACTCTGGAAAGCTGGTCCAGTCTACCTTAAAACAAACAGCTCTTAACAGAAGTCAACAACTACTGGCACCTTACAAATGACTTATTCAGGACGTAAACAAAACCAACAAATGAACATCAAACAGACAATCTTAATTTGACTAACAATATACAGACCTCATACAGACCAACTTAATTTGGCCAAGTAAGAAACAGAAATGACTGGGACTCAGCTCAGTGCTTAACCTACAGTACAAACTATTTTCAATGAATGACTCTGGAAAGCTGGTACAGTCTACCTTAAAACAAACAGCTCTTAACAGTAGTCAACAACTACTGGCACCTTACAAATGACTTATTCAGGACGTAAACAAAACCTACAAATGAACATCAAACAGACAAACTTAATTTGACTAAAAATGTACAGACCTCATACAGACCAACTTAATTTGGCCAAAAATAGAAGGATCGAAACTTACTTGAACCGACCAATGACTGCTGACAAATTTTACATTGAGTCTCTCAGCCAGTACTGTACCATCATGGCTAAACTGACCAATCACTTTCAATGGACCAGACTTATAACATCATTGACTGACGAAGACTACTCACTTGACTCAGATGACTTCTGCTCAGGTTGTCAAAGTGTCAGTCACCAACAACAGTTCACAGAAACCGAACTACTGTCTGTCCGTGTTTCCAGGGGCACTGGTCAAGAAGTGATTTGTTATATACAAAATTACAACAAATTTAAGCTTATATAATCATGATAGTAGATCCATTATAAAATGGTGGGCGAGGATCTACATTCACACTTTGTACACAGATGAACGCTTATAATAGCGGCAATGTTTTCTAGTCAGAGATTTTTGGCGGGAAACAGTTTCATTTCAAATGTGACCTCGAAGTAGCCAATGAGAGCTCGCGCTGTTGCGGAAAAATTCAGCTGATAAAATATCAACTACAGTCAGACCCCGCTAATTCGAACTCGGTCATTTCGAATTCTCCTTTATTTCGAACTCAAAACCATTTCCCTTGAATTTACCCTTCAGTCATTTACTATCGGCTATTTAGAACTCCCGCTACTTCGAACTATTTTTTCGTTTCCCCTGCGAGTTCGAAACAGCGAGGTTCAACTGTATGTGTCTTGTGATATTGGCTCATGAATTCTCCTCTAAGAAGCGACAGAATTCAAGAAGTAAATTGCTTGGCTTCGAGGGAGCCTTAAAAAATCCCACATGACACTTACTTAAACACTGAGTTTTAACCCTCTCTAATTCATCTTTTCTCCTTGCAGACAGTACGAGTTTACAGCCAAACTGAGCCAGTTTGTAGGCCAAATGTTCCCCAATGCCACTCGACGCTCCTGTTATCCAGATAATCTTTCCTCGAAGTCTTTTGTCCGGTTTCTTCGCAAACCTCTCGTAGAAATGAAGTACTGCATCGCAATCGGAAAAGTAAATTCTGGTGATGAAGAGCAAAAGGAATACGACGCAAACCTCTAGAAACCCAAACATGATCGATCGCGTGCAAGTTACTGTAGCGCCCAGTTCTCTTTACACATGTTGGAAGGTATGGAACGGTTTCGGGAACGCTGGGAACAACGGAAGCGAGGAAGACCTAATAGCCAAACATATCCCTAACCAAACACTAACCACTAACTACAAATCGTTAATGACTACTCGTTAACCGTTAAGTCTTATCGAAACACTAAGAACAAGAAAAAGACTAAGAACTACCTTTGTCAAAGATCCAGATTATTAAACTGGCACTGAATAGACCAATTTCGATATATTAAAATTCAGCTTAACACAATAGACCTCAGAACGAGGCTCTGGGGAATAAACCCCACAAACTCTGTAGTTATTTCCCAGAGCTTCGTACTGAGGTCTATTGTTTTAGGCTGAATTTTAATATATTGAAATTGGTCTATTGAACTCGGGTACACATGTTTGTTACCTCACGTGACTTCCGACTGTACGCAAATGTGAGTGGCGTCATGCATAATTTAGTGTCTTTTACTGTGAGGACAGCATTCGCTTCTGACTACCAGTTATGTTGAGCACATTGTTTGTGTTTGCTCTTTGGAGAAGTTGTCTTCGTTACATCGCAGTTGTGATAAAAAAGGTGAGTCCTGCTCAGGCAGGCACAATATTTGAGTTATATAACCCACTTTAATACTAAGAACAGTGTCAGATCTTATTCAAACTATTTGTACATCGATTCGTGTTTTAATCATAGCCTTTGGTAGCTTTGCCGTTGGACAGAGTTAAGAATTACTTACCTTCCTCTATTATTGTAAAATTTTAATTGAACCCAAAAACACTATCTCGAAAGATAAAAAAAGAAGATCATTATACCTTCAATGTTTGTTGTGACCGTTTGCTATGACCGAACGTGTTCGAAATTTTCGCTCATAATCTCCTCACAAAAAAGTCTATTGTAAATATGACCTTATTAAATTTACGGCAATGCATTGTAAAACTGTGTGAGATTGAGTTCTGCCCGTTAATGTATGACTTCGAAAAGTCAAAACCCAAAATGATATTATTATTATAAAAATCTAAAAATTGGTAACTAGTGTGGTAAACAAATCATTATATATGCATGCACTGGAGCTCTGAAAGGGTTGTTTTTAAAGAGAGCCATGTATGGTTGTAATGTGAAATTGAAAATGTCCGACAGAGTTTTCCAAATTCTGTCATCATGTTTAGGAAAAGTCGATAAAGCAGTAATTACAACCTGTTCTTTCTTTAACAATCCACCCAACGTCTTGATGCTCTGGCAGCATTTGTAGCGAACGTACATGGTGATCATTTTAGCACTGTTTGATTTGGAAGAAAAAACAGAAAACTGTTGGCCAGGGGTAAATGTCTCCGCCAAATTTTTTACCGTGATTAGATTATCAGATTGAAATGTAACAAGAATTTTAAAATACCTCTTTTGCACGCTACTTTATGGAAGCTACTTTAATAAGCCTGTTTTACATGACAGCGTGAAAACTGAAATCACCTTCGGGGACTGAAATTGTTGTTTTTCAATTATAAGCAGCAGTAGTCGGTTGTTTTATTTCTGTTGTAGTAATTTCCAAATGGTGTTAACGTTTTGATTATTAAAAATAGTTCTCCTGTTGGAGTGACATTTAATTCATTCAATAGCTTGATTAGTTTTGAAATGCCACCTGGATTTGTATCGTTTTAAGTTTTGATCGCGCCATTATCAATTTGGTTTAATTTTTCTTGTACAAGACAGTTGTCAAAAATTAGCATCGTCCGTCCTTTCTCTAGTTGTAATAAATGTAGAATAAGTTTTTGTTGTTTGTAGAGCATGATATATTAATCAAGTTGCTTTTAACGCCACTACATTGTATGATTATATCTTCATGTTTTTCCAAAACATTCCTGTGCAGAAGTCATTAATGATCTACAATCGAGGATGTCATGAAATGTACGTTTAGGGAAACAGGAGTGAAAGTATATAGATGTAAAATAGAGTGCCTCTAAGATCACTTATAACAACAGGACTGTGAAGCTGCTATGAAATTCCGCGCACGGGACGTACATTTCATCTTTGATTAAGATGAGGAAAGCTTGATGACTCTGACTGCTTAAATTATGGACGGCTTTAACTTTATGACTTGCAAATTACTTCTACTCGCTTAGAAAATTGCATTCATGATTGCACTTTGTGGAGAAATGTGTCCAATTACTGAAAACAAAATCGAGCACAGTTAAAGAAATACACCCAGTGAGCGTTGGTGAAATTCATTATGAACGAGCATGCATTCTCCAGGTGTTTGAGTTAGCGTTTTGTAATTGTATTTTATGAAAGACAGTTTTTCAATACCAAAACTAAAATGCCAACAGACACTCACTTTTAGGGACGCAAACATGAATTTAACTTTTGGCTTAACTTTTAAGCAATTAAATATTTATGTTTTCTCCAGTCTTCTTTGCTTTCTTTGTTTTGTTTGTTGTTTTCCTTCTTTTGTTTTTGTTTTTGTTTTTTTTTTTGTGCTGTAAACGGTGCTTTGAGGCGTCCGATTTTTCAGAAAACGCTTCTTCAAAGACTAAGCAAACTGATTGTTACCATTGCAACATAACTGTGTTGAAAACGTATTCATCTTCTGTGCTGTCTCTAAATGATCAAAAAATAATAAAAAACATGATTGGTTGCTCTATAAAGTTTTCAGTTTCACCTAGGCTCAGTCTCCAGCCGTGGGTGTTTCGGTGCGCCCGCGATCCTCTTGTGAGGATGGAGAGGATCGCGGGCGCACCGAAACACCGACGGCTGGAGACTGAGCCTAAGTTTCACCAGGTGTTGTCGAACCTACCGCATAAGGAATTGCTCCCAGAATCGATGATTTACTTCTAGTTTTTTCATTGGAGCCTTTTTGTTGAAATTAAAAGGGTTTCACCTAAGAAAACGATCCTGTAACTTTTTTGTTAGCTGACATTCCTTACTTTTAAAGCTTTTACTTTTCAGTTCTTCTTTTCTCGTGGGTTGCAGAGTGGCATCGGATAAGCGATGTTTGTCATGTAGACGATCCTTTAAGACCGGGGATAGCAATATCCCACTAGCAATGGAATGGAAAAACCAGAAAAAAAAATGCCCCGTAAGGTTCTTACTATTGAAAAAGTAGAGTGAAACAAGCTTGCATACATGTCCCATTTTTTTGAAGTTTTAGTGTGCTATCGAAATGGGATAATGATGAATTTTGTTTCTTGTTTAAAAAATAACAGATACAACTTAAGCACCAGTGGGAATCGTGTCTTTCTTGCTGATAAGTAACCAGGAGGAGCGAAGTCTGAGAATGAATTGCTGTTCTAACTCAGCGGTACATTTGTTATCTTCGTTTCTTCTGTACGGAGCCTGGCTTCGCCTTGTGACGGCTGCTGGAAGAGGTGACCATTTTTTTTCTACGGTGATTCCAAAAAAGCTTTGGGACGGACCACTAGAAAAGTGATGGG